CTTTCCTGGAACTCACTTGGTAGCCCAGGCTGGCCTCGAACTCACAGAGATCCACCTGGCTCTGCCTCTCGAGTGCTGGGATTAAAGACGTGCGCCTCCATCGCCCGGCCCAGGGTTTTTATTATATACATTAAAATATATTAACATGAGATATATTATTAAAAATCTCATTTTTTAACTTATATATTAACTAAATATATATTAAAAGACTATTAATATATATTTGAGGATATTTATGAGCATTTAAAAACAGTAAGAAATTACAAAAACATCAACAAGGAGCTCATTTGTTGGAATTCTCTAGCTTTAATTGCAATGTTGACTAAAAAATAATTTTAAAGAATGTGATATACTGGGGATTTATTTCAAGGCATCAAATGGGCCAGGCAGCACTCTACCACTGAGTGACATCCCCAGCTCTTGAAATGATTTTAAAATAACAGAATAAGGAGCTGGAGAGATGCATTTGCTGCTCCTGCAGAGGGCTCCAGGTCAGTTCCTGGTTGCCAGCACACATACCAGGTGGCACACAACCACTTATAATTCCAGCTCCAGGGGATCTGACACCCTTTGTGGGTTATATAACATGTTTCCTTACTAAAACTATTACCAGAAAAATCCTTTAGTATGAGGTGCTCCTTAAGACGGATCCAAACCAAGGAGAAATTATATTCTCCTATACAACCAGTATAATCTGAAACTGCTTTCCTTAGTTCTTCTCTACAACATAGAGATTTTCTTTTTTATCTTATACCTTATTATCTAATGCTCTTATTTTGTACTGAGCACACTGAAGGTAGACTATGTCTATGTCTTACCCGACCCAAATCTCAGATAGGTAAGAGTTTGCCTCTTTTACTAACTCTCTTCTGTACTGTAATTCTCTCTGAATTATATATAGGTCACTAATTTTAAGTTTTTGTCGAGATGATGGTTGATATTTCCTCCTCTATCATCCTTGGTCATCTTTGAGTTATACTCATGCATACAAATTCTTCATGCTGGTGCAATTGTGAGGGATTGCGAATAGTGCTTGGCACAGTAGAGAGGAACCTGAACTGGTGCACAACAGTTTCCTAAATGAGTCCAGCGACAGCAACCACCTTTCCTCATCTTAACCCTGGGGGTCTTTTAGCTGTGACAATACAACAGGGTCAGCAAACTATTTTTTTTTTTAATGATAAAGGTTACTTAGTGAAAGCACACAGGTCAGATCTTCCTAGTTCTGAAAAACAGAATGCCACAAAGTTACCTACACTTTTATAAAGGAAGTCTGCAAAGTATGCTAACCATTTGGTATAGCACCTTTTCAGTTTCTTACCAAGTCTCGTTGATCCTCCTGTACCAAATCCATTTTGTGCACCAAGCAAAAGATTTTGGCTTCTGGAGAATTCTGTAAAATGGCCTCAAGGCATGACTGATAATAGTGCATGTCCTTTTCAAGTTCACGGCTCTCCACATCAAAGACATAAATCAGAACCTCCACATTCCGAAAGATGTTGTCACGCTGGCTAGTAAAATAATTTTCCATGAAGTTGTCTTGTCTGACAGGAAAGAAAATCTAGATAGTAAACAAATCCTCTGTTCAATCGCTCCTGCTTGAAATTTTCTTAGCTTGATCAAGAGAAAGATAATCTTTTTTTGTTTTGTTTTGTTTTGTTTTGTTTTGTTTTTCAAGACAGGGTTTCTCTGTGTAGCTTTGTGCCTTTCCTGGAACTCACTTGGTAGTCCAGGCTGGCCTCGAACTCACAGAGATCCACCTGGCTCTGCCTCCCAGGTGCTGGGATTAAAGGCGTGCGCCACCACCACCCAGCGAGAAAGATAATCTTATACTTCAATTCAAAGAGCAAACCACAGCCAAATGTGTTGAGCTCTAGCTACCATACTCTACTTCAGAGTCATAACTTGCAATCCTGCAAAATCCTCGGCCTTTCTTCTTATGTTTTGTTTTGCTGTTGCTACTGTTTTTGTATGTATCACTGACTGGACTGGAACTCACTATGTAGACTAGGCTGGCCTCAAACTCACAAAGATCCACCTACCTCTGCATACTTACCATGCCTGGCCTCTCTTCTTTCAATTTAAACATACTTACCTTCTGTTCATTCTTGAGTGGCTGATGGTTTAACTCAGGAGTCTTTACACATGTTGATCACACTTTCTCATGCTACTTGTTTCTTCATCTAATTAATTCCACCTTCTTCCTTTAGATTTCAATCCAATCCACATGTCCTCACAGAAACCATCCCTACCTTGAGCCAGCTCACTCACTGCAGGCTCTTTGCCAACACATCCCTCTCATTTACAACACTTACCACAAGTGCGATACTACACGTATTTGGATGAGTTTTTAATTAACAGTGTTCAATTCGCTATACAACCAGATAAGGATCATCCTTGACATTATCTCCCACTGTCTCACAGCTTTTAAAAAGAAGGTTGGTAAATGCTTAATGAACATTTGCTGAATAACTTCATGATCAAAATTCTAAATTATATGAAAATGACTGCAATGATGACTTTTCAGCAAAATATTACTCTCTGTTCCTAGGTTGGGTACCATTTTCCAAAAAGATCTCAACAGCTGGACAGCAATAAAACAGTAGTGTCATTTAGTGGTGTATATGGGGTGGTGTTTACAAATTTCTAATCCTACACCTTGCTAATTATAGCAGTGTAACCTTGGAAGAATCGTAAGTTTTCTAAATTACAGATACTTGATCTACAAAACTGAATTTTATATTTTAGTACCTAAAAGCAAGGAACTTGGGTAAGTCTGTTGATATAGATTAGAGAATTGGAAGCAATTACAATGAGGGAATAATTATATCCTAGGGTGTTAATCCAGCTGCTAGCAAGAAAAGAGTTACTTTTAGAATATTTAGTTCTTATATTATTCTGTCAAAATACTCACTGAGCATCTTTTGTAAGTTTGGAGCTGAGAAATACCCACTGGACAATAGCATCTATTTTGTAAGACACTACAGTGTATATTTTATATGTTTTAGCTTGCTTAATCATAATAAACCAATGAGTTGGTTATTGTGCTCTATTGTACAGGTGAAGCTACAGCACAGAGAGTTTGAATAATATACCTCAGACAAAGAACCTATGCTCTTAATCACTGTGCATTACACACTGCTGCTTCAGCACAGAGATGTTTATGACCTTAAAGTGGACAACCGCATCAGCACATAGGCATAGTAAGTGAACATTTGTGCTGGGATTTTTGATGATTGCCTTCATTACGAAAGGAAGTGCTCTCTTACTCTTCCAACAACAGGAAACTTGGCCAGATAATATATGCTCAGAATCCAATCTACAGTGATAAGTCTGCCTAGAAGTAATTACTAAATGACTGTGAACAGTCTGGTATAATTAAGTAATAGCTAAGAACTCAATAGTGCCATCAGTCAACCTGAGATAGATGTCATTTATGCCATGGCAAAAGAGGGGTGATCTATCCCATAGTATACATACTTAGATGGAGCTTACATTAGAGCTACTTAAATACATCTTATGTAGAGGGCATTTTCAAAGTTGTATAAAACACAATCTTTATTAATCAACTGACAATTCTGAAATAATTTTTAGGCAGTGCATCTATGCAAATGATAGTTATTCTAGATGTGTTTGCCATGCTGATTATATTAGATGACATCATTACTGCCATCACCTTCACAAACAAGTAGGCACATAGTACTTACCCACCACAATCCCACAGGTTCAAAACCAGGTTTCCCAGAAATCGAACATGAGAATGTTCTACATCAACTGGAAGATAAATGTTACAAATCTAGTATTTGTAATAAAGAACATTAAGAAAAATACTAGCCCATAGTGTTTAGAAGGACCAAAGTGGAGTGAAATGCTCAAAGCCATAACAAGAAGGTGATTTTCAGCTTAGTCATATGGTTTAGTGGCAAGGTGGGCACCTATTCTACCCTAAGCTAAGGAATTGGCTCTTGTGTCAGTCATTTTAAAATTTCAGTAGTTTAGTACCCAAAGCAGAAAACCAATTCTAATATTAATGTTAAGTTTTAGAAGCAAGACAGTGACATACACCACTTAACAGCTCTTCCCAACCCCGCCTTCTTTCACTAACTTCCCCACAAAAAATAAAGACAGAAAGCAAACATAAAACAAACATAAAACACAACAAAACTAACTCCTCTACTGACTTCCTCTTCAGTTAATGACTCTACTGTTTTTTTTTCTATTTTTGACTCCCCTGACCACATTCAATTCTCTTTGAGTCCTTTTTAGTATCTCTTAATTCCATTCTTTATTTTATAATCCATCACCAAACATCAAGGAGGGCCCTTAACACCTCATGCCTACACTACAAGAAAGTCTTAGGGGGAAAAAAAAAAAAAAAAAAAAAGAAAGCCTTATTTACTTTATATCATTCACTAGGCTACTGCAGAGTTCATCTTCTTAACACTACTTTGAACATATCACTCCCCATTCAAAACACTTTCAATGGCCCCTCCATGTTCAATGGGGGTGCACTCAAGGTCCTTCATACTTTGGCTTCCAATCTACCTTTATAATCCCCAGAAATTCACATTTCACTTCCACCCACTGTTTTATTCATAGTCCTCCCAACCCTACTACCTCCCCATCCCCCAACATATTTTACATTCAGGGGTCGCAAACTTGCTAAATCAGGCCATGTGAGCAAATCTATACCATTAAAGCTGGCTAAATATGAGGGTACATCTACCATGGGCTCACAGAGGTTGATAGTTACTCAAATCTTGTTCATTTGCTATGCAAAATACTGGCTCGGGTTTACTGAATCTTCAACATTTAAAATAGTAGCTTGAATTCTAAGTTTTTATGAAAATTTTTACAAGAGATTGCTGCTTCCAATTTTTCTAAAACTATGTGCAGGCTAAAGAAAGCACATCTGTAGGCCTTATCCAGCACACAGGCTGTCTGTTTGCGACCTCTGCTTCATTGCCTTTTCCAGCCTTTGCTGCAAAGCACCACCCCTTCTTCCTTTCAAAGGTAATCCTAAAACCCAGACTAATTCCCACCTCCTCCAAAAGCCCTCCTTGCCTGACAAAAATCCCACTTATCATTATCTCTCCCCCTAAACTCATTCAAACATTTACTAAGCAACTACTCTCTGCCAGGCACTAAAAACCTCAAGAAGGAATAATTTAAGATTTTACCATGTTATTTCTCAAAGTCTAGCAATTTTGTTTTATATAATTTATATGCTAGTTAACTCAATCACATTGTAATAGTTTGTCTATCCCCAAGCTGTTACCTAAACTAACTGCTATCTACTTTTGTACGATTTTATCTTCTCATAATTATAGACACAAACCATCCATGATAAAGTAAATCATATGGATTTTTAAAGTCAAATAAACTTTAGTTTATATGACAGTTCTATCTCTGTATGACTTTGGGCAAGTCATGAAAGCTAAGACTAGCTTCCACTTCTGTGAAAAAAGAAGGAAGGAACATAGTTTTGACCTCACAGGATTGCTGCTGTGAGGATTCAAAGAGTGCCTGGCACATAGTAGGTGCTCAAACTACTTCCCATTTCCCCCTTTACTTCCCCCTCCTTGGAAAAGGAATCATATCTTACATGTCTTTGTATTTCCAACAGAGTCTACGAGAGAGTAGGTGCTCAAACTGCTATTAATTTGAAGACTATGTATACGGTCTAGGACTAAAAAAAAATGGAAAGAAGTGCTACTGAGAAAGGGAAAGACAATAACAAAAGTGACAGGATTCAGTGACTTTTTAGATATGGGGCATATGGGATAGAAAGCGGGTTTCTCCTCCCATATCACAGTTCTCATCAAGTGGCTAATGGCCCCACTGCCAAATCCAGTGGACTTTTTAGTCCTTGTCTTACGTTCTGCAGCATGACACTGTTGACTACTCTCTTCTCCTCAAAAGGACTTCTTTTCTCTTGGTCTCTGGCATCAAATCTACAAACTTTCTGGAAGACCCTCCCTCATGGGCTCCTATTCTTCTTTCTGTCCCTTAAATGTCATGGTTCTTTGGGACTCCAACAGTGGCCATCTTCTCATCAGAATATTTTCCCCAAGATAACTGTCATATTATATTTATCATTTGGATACAAACTAGGTAACACTAGTACAGATTTCTCTATTTCTCGGACTCATATACTATATGTCTGTACCGTAAGTTTCCCAATATAACTTATCTCTCCTTTCATCCTAACAAATCTATTCCCCTTTCAGTTTTCTCCATCTTGGTGAATTTAACCAGCTGTCTAATCTAAAACCTCCCATCCTCCAGTCTTCTTTTCCCCTCACAATTCTCTCCAAGTTTCCCAGAAAGTCCTGTTGACCCAGTAGCTTCGCACCATATCCACTACCACTACCCTAGTCCAAATCAAGCCCCTGCCATCTCTTCAAGTTGTTTTAAATTATAGAATTTACTCCTCACAGTTCCAAAATCTTGACAATTCTGAGATGCAGCCATCAGCAGAGTGGGAGTCTAGTGAAAAGCAGTGCTCTGGCTTATAGACGGTACCTGTTTCTCCCCTTGCATCACTCCAGTCTGCTCTCCACACTACAGATATAGTGATGCCTCCAAGTTGCTGGGGTTTCTATCATTCTTTAAAAAGACCATGTCTGTGCATGTGTAATTGTATACACTGAGAGGAGGGTCAGAATGGTAGCCTCAGAAGTACTAATGGTGGTTCTCTCTAGGAAACCGGCTTGACAGTGAAGAACTAAATAGACTTTTCCTACTTAAATGATGTTTGAAGTGTTCACAAGTATTATTTTGAATAAAAATGTGGCTCTGATCATGTTACTTTTTACTGTTGAACATTCTTTCATAGTTTGACTATCTTTCTTGGCTTCTAAGACATTTTACATCTGAACCCCATTTCCTGCTTCCCTGTTAAATGTTAAGCTCACCGCATGTCCCTGGTTCTTCTATAGCCTTCCTGCTCTGTTATCATGAGAGCGACTGACAAGAGACCAGGGTTTGGGAACTAATATACATTTACGGGGCAGAAAGAAGAAAACGTTATGATAAGGATTATCTTTTTATTAAAGCAGGGAGGGCTGGTTAAAGATAAAGAAAGAAAATCATTACATAAAGAGCCAAGAGAATAGAATTTTGAGAAGATAGGAAATCTTGGAGCCGTCAACAGTGTTTGATACTAAAATATTTCATAATCATTTTAGTGACAAATTTACCATCCCAACAAACACATTTTAACATCTACCTAATAAATTAATCGCATCATCATTTCTTCTTTATTTCAAATTTCAACATGCAGGGGGCTTTAAATTTAACAAAATAAAACTTGACTTTTTTTCAGGAATGACAAACCAAGAAAACACTGACACATTTAAGTCAAACAACATTTTAAAAGTAGTTTTCTTTTTACTACCCTTAAAGAAAATCAGTAATTGCATCAAAAGGGACAACAAATAAAAGCAATGCACTACATGTAGTCTGAACTAGTCTACATGTTCAGCAACAAACACAGACCTTTCTTTAGTAGTGACAAACCAGTTCATGATGATATGCTAAAACATTAAAACCAACATTGTTCATTATATTTTTACGACCTTTAAGGAAATTTAGGAAATACTAATCAAATATTACCAATCAACTTACTACTTGACATATTCTTTTTTTTTTTTTTTTGGTTTTTCGAGACAGGGTTTCTCTGTGTAGTTTTGCGCCTTTCCTGGAACTCTCTTTGGAGACCAGGCTGGCCTCGAACTCACAGAGATCCGCCTGCCTCTGCCTCCCGAGTGCTGGGATTAAAGGCGTGCGCCACCACCGCCCGGCATTTTGACGTATTCTTAGGGGTAAGAGCCCCACCCCACTGAAAGTGTCTGGCAAGAGACACTTCTAGATAAATACTTGTTGAATAAATGGCCTATTTTAATGAGTAGGGTTATATAATTTGCAACATTATGCTTATAATGATGATGCTGGATTATGTCAAAACTATTTTCAGCAGTTTCAATAATTCTAAAAATCTTGCTGTGAGACTATTCATTGGATTCAGGGTAATAAACCAACTGTATTGATCAGTTAGAAATGGAAATATCAGTGGTACTAAGAAAAGATGTTTCAAAAAAGTGTATAGAATTTAAAACAAGAAGAAAAGGCCTTTCAGGAATTTTAGGAATTGAGTAGTATAATATAGCCAGGCTGTCACAATAAACAGAAAAGCACAGACTAATATCCCAACTCTGACACTTAATAGCTGAATGTGATTAATTTTGAAGTCATACTTTCATCATCTATTAGAATAAAGGTAATATGAAAACTAAAGTAAATGAGAGCAGGCATAAAAGTAACAGTACTTCAATAAGCATCTCTACTCCACTAAAACACACTGATACTAGGCCTATATATTTAATCTGGAAGAGAAAAAAATCTATGAAATCAAGACACAGAAAAACATTTGGACAAGTACACTTTCTAGAGGCTAGATGCCAACTCCACAAGTATGAAAAGCCACAGGAAACTATCTTGACCAACAGTTTTGACAGTAATTTAGGTACTTATCAAATATAAAACTGTAGATAACTATGAAGGAGAGCAAACATATCAGGTGAGAGAATAAGTGGCTAAAATGAAAATAGGAACCCCTTTTTATTATGCATAAGAAAACTGCAACCCAGTGGCTTGGATTCCAAAATAAAGGAACATGAGCCATTTAATGTATATATGGATGTCAAGTTTGTATGTAAAGTTCAAATTATGAGCTGTACAAAAACCAAAGGATGTGTATGCTTTAATAAAATATATGCAAAGATGAACTGGGGCTTTATGATTCAGTAAAATGAACGGTGCTCCAGAACAAGAAGGTGGGGTTTCACCATGCTGACAGCAGAGTAATGGCCAGAACAAGAGATGTAGTAGGCCTGCCCTGCTCTGATTAGACCACATCTGCATTCATGTCTTATAAGAAAATAGAGAAGTTTGAACAAGTCCGTAAAAAACATTCAAACTTATGCCAAATGAGGAACCAAAGATGTTTAAGGTAAGGATAACAAAATTTGGGAGGCAGGGAACAAGTAAGATAAATTGAGATATTGAGTATTTGCAAATATTTGTAGAGAACAGACTAGGAAGAAAGAAAAACAGACGAGATTCTATCTAGGAAATAGCTTTCTAATCACCAAGTTTCTCTCAAGTTACGGAAGTCTACACTAGACACCAAGCCCCAAACAGAAGTAAAGTTCCTTCTCCTTTGTATCTCAGAGTCTGGAGCATAATATGTTTCAAAGATGTTTATTATTCTTGAAACCAGATTGGGGAACCTTATTGAACAATGCTAACTTGTTGCTAAAAGTACTAACGATGCTAGAAACCTAGATTGGGATTTCTGAAGGCTAGGCAGAGCAATGCCTTCCTCACCCAGAAGCCAAGACCAAAGGCAGCCTTCAGAAATGCTTGGATGCTTCAGAATGACATAATCTGCTTCAGAGTAAGGCGCTCCCAGGATTCTTGATTCCTTGTTCTGGTAGCCATGATAGCCCAGAAGTCTATACTAATATTCTAGCCATAAAGGTCTAATTAGTTATTTCCCAACTCAGAGTAGATGCTCCAAAGAGAAGATGTAAGTGTATAAAGAAAGAGAAACAGCAGAGTGCAGAACAAGTATACCTCTTACCTTTTAATAAGGGTAAGGACTAACTCCTTCATTAAAAACATTAGGTTTTATTGTATGCTACTTACTGCCTGATTTTCCCCTTTGTATAAAAAGTTACAAACAAACACTGTCCCCACAAAACAAGCAGGCAAAGGGTCCCTATTCTTGCCTAAGAAACAGCTGGATACACAAGTTAGCTAAGAGCATCCCACTTTGCAAGCAACCTAGAAAGGAAAGCAGCTCCCAAGGACAGTGAGCAATAATAACCAGAATTAGGCCACGCATTCTGAGGAGAAATGCAAAAAGGGAAAGCATGCTTCAAAGCAAATTCATAAACCTGTGCATTCCCAAGCGTGTTATGCGGATTATTAATAGCCAAGGTCACCTCACTTTACAATAAGATGAAACATCTTACTTGTTGCACCAAGGCGACGAGTGTCTCTGGCAATATAATTTGCAAAGATAATAGACCTCATGCTGGTCTTACCAGATCCACTTTTACCCATCAACAGCACCTAAGGGCAAAGGAAAAAAGTTAGCAATCTAGAGCAAATCTGGTGTAAAGGGATCCATTTCTCCTCTGTAGTTGGCATTTTACAGAAGTGTACAAATGACCAGTATACCTGCAATTAAGCTCTTCCCCAAATAACATTTCAAATGCTGAGCACTTACCTGCTATGAGTTACACATCATTTAGCAACACAACTGCAGTGAGTTTGTTATTATACATAATATCTTTTAAAGATTTTTTTATTATTTTAATTAGGTGTATATGTGGGGAGGTATGTGCACATGAATGCAAGTGTCTACAGAAGTCAGAGATGTGAGGTCCCCTAGGAGTTGTAATGACAAGCAGTTGTAAGCCACCTGATGTAGGGGCTGGGAATCGAACTCAGGTCCTCAAGAAGAGCAGTATATGCTCTTAACCACTGAGCCATCTCTGCAGCCCTTCATTATTATACATAATATTTATTTAAAACTATGTTAGAAAAATTCTGGCCGGGTGGTGGTGGTGCACTCAGGAAGCAGAGCCAGGAAGATCTCTGTGAGTTCGAGGCCAGCTTGGGCTACAGAGAGAGATCCAGGAAAGGCTCCAAAGCTACACAGAGAAACCCTGTCTCGAAAAACCAAAAAAAAAAAAAAAAAAAAAAAAAAAAAAAAAAAAAAGTTTGTATTGGTTGGAGATTTAGCTCAGTAATAGAGTGCTTGCCTAGCAAGCGCAAGGCCCTGGGTTTGGTCCTCAGCTCCGGGAAAGAAAAAAAAAAAGAAAGAAAGAAACAATAAGTATTTCTTTTTTAAATGGGGTTGGGTATTTAGCTCAGTGGTAGAGCGTTTGCCTAGCAAGTGCAAGGCCCTAGGTTCGGTCCTCAGCTCCGGAAAAAGAAAAAAAAAAAAAGAAAAATTCCATCTTGCTGGAGAGAGATGGTGCAGCAGTTAAGAGCACTGACTGTTCTTCCTGAGGATCCGGGTTCAATACACATCACCCACATGGCAGCTCACAACTGTCTGTAACTCCAGTTTCAGGGGATCTGACATCCACACACAGACAACAGACAATTGAGACTCCAATGCACGTAAAAAAAAAATTGAGGGGCTGGAGAGATGGCTCAGTGGTTCAGAACACTGACTGTTCTTCCAGAGGATCCCAGGTTCAATTCCCAGCACCCATATGGCAGTTCACAGCCGTCTGTAACTCTAGTTCCAGGGCTTCTGACACCTCCACACAGACATACTCACAGGCAAAACACCAATGCACATAAAATAAAAATAAATCAAAAAAAAATCTGAAAAAAAATAAATAAAATAAATTTTAAAAAAAGAAAGAAAAATACTATCTCAATAGGAAACTAACCCTATTCTCCTATAATGCAAGGTTAGATATACATTGACCTAACTAGCAGATTTCAGAATAACTGAAAAGCTCCTCCTACTTCTCTGTTCAAGGTCAGTTTTTTTTTCACTCCAGCCCATGATGTCATCCCTTTCACATACTTCTATAACTTTCTTTCATCAGTTTTTGTCTCTTCGTTTAACTTTGCTATGCCCTACAAAATTGGGCACTTAAATTATACATAAGACCATTTTTGGTTTAGTTTATCTACTTCTGTCTTTACCTCCTGCTTCTCCTAGCCTGGAACTTTTGGCATCCAGTCACATTGAACTGAATGGTATAGAGTCTGTTTCCAGTCTTCTGGGGAGTCCTGACGCTATGTATTCATTCTGTATTCTCTACCATCCTTTATTCTTCTTTCAGTGAAATCCCACTTATCCTTCAACACTTGGTTCAACAATCATTCCAGGAATTTTCTCTGGACCTAGGGATGTAGCTCAGTACTAGGGTATTTACCTAATATAAGTGAAACTTTGGGTTCAATACCCAGTATCCTTCCCATAGTTCCTCTGACCCAAAAGCCTTAGGCCTGTGGTTCTCAACCTGTGGGTCAACACCCCCATGGGGTGGTTGAATGACCCTTTTCACAGAGGCTGCCTAGACCATTGGAAAATACAGTTATTCACATTATGATTCATAACAGTAGCAAAGTCACAGTTATGAAGAAGCAAGGAAAATCATTTTATGGTTGGGGTCACCACAACCTGAGGAACTGTATTAAAGGGTCGCAGCATCAGGAAGGGTGAGAACCGCTGGCTTAGGTATCTTGCCTGCCCTCTAGTGGTACTACTATATCACTGCAGACCGTAAAGCTCTGCAGTCCCTTGTTTGGGGAACTCGCTCACTAGACTCTAAGCCCGTGAAGGGCAGAGGAGTACCTTTGTACCCTTTGTGCCCTTTGTATCTCCAGTGCCTGCCTAAAATATAACAAAAGCTTGAAGCATGTTCATCAAACGAATGAACAAGACATTAAAACAAAAATGCAATGACAACGTCTGAAAGCAAGACCTTACAGACATCTTTCTGTGTTAGGATTTAACACAAGAAAGACACCTGTGGACAATGCCATATATTCTCACACTGAATGACTCTGAAAGAGTCCTTTAAACACCAAGTTTGTGAAATACAATTCTGATAACCTTCTCCTTTTCAAATGAAAGAAATACCTATTCCCTCTTCTACCTCCAGTCCCAATATATTTTATTGAAATGTCTAATTATAAACGGAAGGAACATCAATGAAAACATACTGGACATGGATTTATTCAACCCGACAATTTATACAGCTTTACCTTACTAAGAAAATGTAACTGCATAGCTAGTCTAAAATTAATATGGAAAATTTTCCCTGTCCTTTGCAAAAAAATTTAACTGAAAACATAACTATATCTTTCTGGGGATAGAAACTGATTCTTTAATACATGTAATTCTGGAATGATTAAATCAAATGAATTTTTGGCCCCTTTCTCTTTTCACAGTTCTCTAAGTTTTGATTGTATCGAAGGCACAGAATTAAATTTTAGATGAAGTTAGGCTAAATATATTAGACCTTTTCATGAAAGGGCAAGGATAGTCATGTTTGAGATTTACAGGGAGTTTACTCATGTAAAGTTCCTAATAGTTCTATGAGGGTTATTACCACTTTGCAAATGACACTGAATCCCAAAAAGGTCAAGAAATTTGCTTCAGAGCTACAGTCTTAGGGATACTGTCTAAGTCCCAATAAAAGTGCAAAGCAAAGAACATCCAATCCCTGCTAGCAAAACGCATGTAACATTTGATATGGGTTAAAGAATCCATGTGCACACAGAAGGTTGTGTCATATTTGAATATGGCTTGACTCCGTGAGATTAATTTTAGACAAAGTGAATCTGACGGTAAATAAAGGGATGAGAGTCAGAAAGACCATATAGGTTATTGCCATAGTCCAGAAAAAAAGACAGATTTCCTGAACTATAACTTCTTACCTTTTTCTTCATGTTTCTAATGTACCTAACGTATCTTACCTTTTTCTTCATGGTTGCATTTGGCATTGCCCACCTGTAGATACAAACCAAAAGATAGTGTTTCCATGATCTAATTGCCTTAGAAATTAAAAAAAAAAAAAAACAAGTAAACGGAGAGAAGCAGAAGAATATTGTTTAAAACAGCTAAGTACGTAGGAGACCTCGTTTCAGAAGTCTTCATTTTCCTAAAATATAAAACTGCGTTTATGGTCCCCGTTTCCTTCGTTTGCTCAAGAGATGCTTCCTAGGAAGACATATTTAGGAATACAAACCATTTAAATTCAAGATTTGATATTCTGTCATAAAACCAACGCAATATTCTGGGCACTTTTATAAACCAAACAATATTTTCATATTTGGATACTATTTTTTAAAATTCAGCTGCTTATTTTTCAAATCTGGAAGCATCTTTGGACCTTCAATCGTCCTTCCAAGCTGCGTTTCATTCATTAAAGGCGCCAAGTACATATAACGCAGCTCTCAAACAGGCATATCAAACTATACGTCACTGGTCAGTAAATGTCTGTCCTCGCCCTCTTTTTATCACTAACAAGGTGATATCACCAAATCACCTTCATAGAAAACGCAAAACAAGTCAGAACTGTCTCCATCAGAACACTACGCATAAACCAGGAATCTCAGCTCCAGGCAAAGGGCTGTTTCTGTTCTGTTCTCCGTTTTTATTTTCTATCACCAAGGGCATGATACCAATCAACCATACTGGTAAAGTAAAGCAATTTATCCCTGGAGGTTAGGGCTTCTTGCATTTTCACGATAACCTTTACAATTAGCACCCCCTCCCTCCTAGGTACAACATAATACCCTTCACCCACCCAAGCGATCCTTCCGGCTCCCCGAGTGGAGGCTCCACTCTTGGGCCCAGATTCTCTTTCTCCGTCTTTTTCTCGGAGTCAGATTCTTCCATCGCGCAACAAGTCTTTCCCAGCGCCTTCTAAAGCCGCAGTCCTCCTTTCTTCTGGCTCACCTCCTCCACTGCCTATGCTCAGCACCCGCGGCCCGCGGGGCCTGCTCTATGCCTGCCTCCGCCTTTGTCCACTGGGGGGCCGCTTTTCCCACAGTTACCTTTACCGACCCGAACTTAGTCTCCCGGCTCGGCGGGGGAGGCCAGCCCGAGGGAACCAGCGATTCGCTGCGTGCCAAGGGAGAGATGGAGGGCCAGGGGGATGCGGAGTTGGTCCCGACTTCGGGCCTCACTCCCCCAAGGTCTCAGGACCCGAAGGGAACTTGGCCCGCCGCTGTGCGGCCGGCCAAGGCGGAGATAACGGAACGAGCTGACCGCGGCGGCCGCCGAAGCCAAGCGGTCCCCGCCTGGCGGCTCCCTGACGACCTCGCCGCCGCCAGTCGGAATCCGCCTGAGGCCGCGTTTACTTCCGCGCCCGCCCTTCAGGAGCGCAGGCACCTCACCGCAGCCACGCTACTGCAGGCCAGGATCACGTGGGAACCTGCCGTAGTCCCGGGCTTGTCACGTGCCGCTCCCCTGGGGGGCTGCAGTGAGCGGGGGGCGCGGGGGGGGGGGAGCAGGGAAGAATACCATAGAGACTGCTCTAGGAAAGCCAGAGAGCCGCCCGCTGTCACGTGGCCCGGCCTCGCTTTGCCGCGCCACAGGCCCTCGAGGTGGCCCGCAGGCGCTGGGAAACCCGCCGACGTGGCCCCGCCCACCCGCGGCTCAGACTTAAAGGAGAAGGATGCAATTTCCGTACCTGCAAGCAACCTGTTTTCACTGCTGCTTCTGCTTAGGGATGTGTGCTGAAAAGGCTAGTGTAGTAACTTTTCCTTCCGTTAGTCCTTGTGGCAGTGCTAATAATTAAAAAAATGAATACATCTAAAGTGCTTTAAACTGTTTTTCACATAGAAAACTCTCAATAAGTTGTTATTGCCAGGACCAGACACACACACACAGGGTTTAACACATTCACCATTTAACTTGAAAAAAATTGCAGATGTATTTTTAAATTTTCTGATTAACATGTAGTGCTTGTTCACACAGAATTTAGTGTGGAAAATAAGTTCTCATAAGAGACTGTATTCTCATAAGAAGTTAGGAAAGTATAAAACTTATAACGGACAATGCTTACTATATTCGGGTATAGAGACTGCCAGAAACAAGACGCCACTTAAGAATCTAAAGAAATGCTTCGGGAGAGCAGGAGAGAGAGTAAGATGTGACATAAAGGGACTTACTTTTCATCTTAAACCCTTATGCATTGCATGCAAATTATATATATATATATATATATATATATATATATATATATATATATATCACATATACATTATGTGTATGCACACATTAGTTTGATAAGAAAAGGAGCCGGGCGGTGGTGGCGCATGCGTGGCAGACGCAGGCGGATCTTTGTGAGTTCGAGGCCAGCCTGGGCTACAGAGCGAGTTCCAGGACCGGCTCCAAAGCTACACAGAGAAACCCTGTCTCAAACCCCCTCCTTTGCCCTCCCCCCAGAAAGAAAAAAAAAAGAAAGAAAAGGAAGCAAAGAGAAAAAGCCAGATATTACAGTTGAATTGTAGGCTGGCCTGGTCTACAGAATGAATTCCAAGACAGCTAGGGCTGTCTTGAAAATCCAAAAGAAAAAAATTAAAGAAAGGAAGAAAGACAGTCAAGGAAGCAAAATTATTGTTGGTTCCTACCAACCCCAGCTGAGATCCCATGTGACCCCCTTTCTCCACAACTTCCATGCCCCATGAAAATAAATACTCTACTGTGAGTGTTAGATCAAAGGAGAATAAATAGGAAAACATATTCCATGCAAACAGCCAAAACTAAGCTGGGATGACCACACAAATGGTTGATAAAAATGACATGAAATCAAACCTAAAACTCCAACTTTGAATACAAGTTATGAAGGAGACATTTTACAATGATAAACAAGTGTATCTATCAAGAATATATAACAAATATAAATGTAGTTGCACCAAACATCTCCTAAATATATGAGATAAATATCTACAGAATTGAAGAAACAGACAAGTTCAAATAGCAATTGTAGACTTAAATACTTTGTTTTAAAAGGAGATTAAACAGCCATGGAGAAGACATATTAGAAAATGAACTTGAGAGAAACGGTAGACCATTTGGGCCTGACAAAAATATGTAGAATATTCTACCCAACAAAGTCAGAGATGTTCATATTTTTTTTTAACTTAACTAGAACATGTGAGCAAAGGTAGACCGTATGTTTAACTATGTCCCACAAAAGATTCTTTTTAAAAACTAGCATTAAAATCACAAAAAGCTTTTCTGACTACAATGGAATAATACTAGAAGTCAATATCAGAGGAAACCCTGGAATATATTCAAACTTATGGCAAGTAACCAGCACTCTCTTGAAGGGATGCTGGGCCGCCAGGAGCGGTCTTGTTTTGTGCTCCTTTGCACTTCCCTGGTGGATTCTTCTGATGTTTAGCTTTCAGCTTTGCTGCATTCATAGTTAAGCGTTGTAGGTGTTTTCTGAATGTCTATTGTATGCCCCACATTGTTCCAGACAGCAGGGTTAATCCATCCGGTGGGTATGTTTTGCTTCAGTCTCTTACCTTAGTTTTTGCCTTTGTTAGTGTCCATTCCAAAAAAATAAAAATAAAAATAAAAATACCCGTGGCATGCCTTTTTCTTTTGTTTTCTTTGTGTTGGGTCTGTATGTGAATTCATGCTTTCCCTTTGATAATCTTGATGCTTTATTTCAGTTTTACCTCTAGTGTTATCTGGATAGCTTTTTACATGTAAGCCTGTGTCTAATAAATTATTACTTATTAGAAAATAACTTTTAACTTCCACTTGAAATGTGGTGAAATATATTTCTTATTAGCTGTTCTTGTAGCTGTTATTATATTGTCCTTGGTCTTTCTAGTGTTCAGATTTACAAGTTTCAATTAACTGGGCTGTTTTTGTTTTTGAGACAGGGTCACATTGTGTTGCCCACGCTGGTCTCCCTACCTCAGTAGCTGGAACTAGAGGAATGTGTCTCCATGCCCAGCTAAGCACACACTTTTAAATAGTGTTGGTACTTGATTTAGTTTAGTTTCTGTCCTACCCTTTTGCAGAGTATTGAGACCAGGTTCTATGTCCCACTCGAAGTTACTCCCGTCTTGCTTAAAATAGTGGTTTTCTAAGCAGCTGTCCCTATGTAGATCCACAATGTACACCATCTGTTAGGACTCCGACTAATAAATATCTTATTCCTGGGATTAGGAAAGGAGGTACCCAATAAGTTTATTGGGAGTAAACTGAGACTGTAAGGGCACATGGGCTTAATAAAATCCTGTCAGAGAAACCATTCTGAGGAACTTATCAGACATATCAGACCATATGGGTGTGATTTCCTCTCATGGACCACATAGAGTGATGAACACCTAACACTGTGATGGCGCAGCCACACACCAACCAATTATCTGATACCTGTGAGTACATCTAGGATCAGCAAGCGGAGGTCTCCACAACTATATCTGGAGCTTCATCTGGGTTTGGAATCCTGGTATTGACACGGTCTACTCCACTGTCTCTCCAGCTGTTCGCCTGCCCCTCAGAACTGGAACTCACTATTTCCCGCCCTCAGACCCTGGCTTGATCTTTTGCTTCACAGGTGGAGTCTGATTCCAGCAGCTCCAGCAGCAGGTCCCTGCTGGCACTGGTCTAGATTATTGTTTTATGAAGGGAGCCACTCTCCTGGTCTATTATGAAACCTCTTGAGCTCCACCACAGCCTCTATTCCTTGTATTCATTCCGTAAACCATATACACATATAAACCATATACACATATAAACCATATACATATATAAACCATATACACATATAAACCACATACACATATAAACCATATGCACATATAAACCATATACACATATAGATATATTTACTGTGTGCTGTGAGAATTCATCTTACTAATTAAGTTTGGAAAAACAAAAAGGAACTTACATTTGCCTGAGCCAGATTACCAGGATAGGTGGGATTATCTGACACACTGATGCCACTGAAACCTTATAATTGTATTGCTATTCAATAAATTATGACATTGCGGAGAGACACAAACACACTTGTCTATATTTCTAACATTGTTGCACTCATCACAAAGGGTACCACGCAGAAAATTAATTTTTAATTTTTTTCTTTTTTTGGGGGGCGGGGGCGGGAAGTGGGGCCATGCCAAGGTGTGCCTGTGGAGGTCAGAGAAGAACTTTTGGTACTCTCACATGGCCTGAACTCCGTTCTTCAGGCTTGGCCACAACACCTATACCTGCTGAGATGTCACTCACACCCCATCCTTCCCTCCCACACCCTGCCAAAAATGATCTTTTGAAAGGTTAAACAGCTCCTGCCACTCCTTGCCTTAACACTGTTCAGTGGCTTCTCACTTGTGACCTATCTTAAGTGAATTGTCAATTAGCTCTCCCATCTCTTCTCCCTAGGTCTGCCTTCCTAGGTCAGCAGGTTCCAGCCTCGGAAGCTAAGAGTTTCTTGTTCTTTGAACTCTCTTTAATGTTACCTCCAGGAAACAGGCTGGGAAAGGGAGCTACATTGGCGGCAGCGGATGCCCCTTTAAAAGACTGAATTTGTCAGTCACAGTTTGGAATACTATTCTCTCTGCTTTTGCAATGGCCTCAACTTTCTCAGCTTACAATTAATGTCCTCCGAGGTCTTCCCAATCCACATTCTAGCAGAGCAGGATAATCCTTTGTACCGACAGTAGCTATTTTCTAACATATGCTTTTTACTTCATAATATTTCTTTTTTCTTTTACTGTTAAGATTCTACTCTAATCCCATCATGGCTCATTTCCTTTCCCTCCCTCCACGCCCTCTCATATAACCCTCCATGCTCTCTTTCAAACTCATGTCCTTCTTTTTTCATCACCTGCTCATCTTGTATAATCTCACTTATATGCCTATTTTCAGGGCTGACCATGTGGTACAGGATAACAAACCAGTGTACTCTTCCCTAGGGAAGACTGTTTCTCCTGCTCTGAGCATTCCTTTGTCGCCTATGGTTCTTTGACATATTAATAATCTTGTTTATTTATTTATTTGCTCTCTGAGTACAGAATTTCTATTTAAATTCTGTGAGGACAAGCACTTAAAAATGTTCTGTTGTACACTAGGTTCACAGACCAGAATGTGGGTGTATACTTGGTATTCACTGAGTACTTTTTCTAAAGATAGGGACAAATACATTAAAATAAAAAGGGAATTTCTGATTAGTAACAGAAAGAAGGAAAATATATGACAGTTAGTCATCCGTGTGTTTTGAGAATGAGAATGCCCAAACATTGGTGGGGAGTAAAGCCAATGAGAAGAGAAGAAATGATTGTCACAAAACTTCTGGAGAGGGAAAGGCGAGGAAGCCAGAGCACAGCTAGGAGAATTCTTTATAGAGAGAAGACAAAACTTCTATGGAAATCCTTTAGCTAGGCTAATTAAAAACGACCCCTCCCTCCAAAGCCCTCAAATTGTCAAAGAAACAGGAATTATTAGACCCGACAGTGA